CTAAACATGCATGCATTATTTGTTTAATAGAAGAAAATATATACAGGGCAAAGACGTGCCTTCCAGGGGAAACGTTTAAATTAGGTAATTCTAATTTTAACTTCTTAGTCAAATGATTGAAATGCAATTTAAAAAAAAATAACCCTTTGTAGTCAAATATTGAGGCAGGAATGAGCTCTCTGGCATGGGTAACAGTTGGCTTCATGTTGTCCCTCTAGATTTTTTCATCTAAGTCTGCTGGTCCTGGGGTATGAGTGAGTACCTCCAGAGTTGGAATTGGTGGTTTGTGCCACCTCCGTGGACTTTTAAAATTCACTGACCCCTATCCTTCAGTACTGAGCAATGTATAATAGAATGTTTTCTATGTTTGTCATAGTTTTCCTAAAGAATGTCACCAGGATGGTTATAGAACTGAACCCTCAAAATTGAAGCAAACCAGTGAACAGGTTAGCCAGCTCCTTTTGGCATTTATGAAAATATTTTCTTTCCAGATGGCATAGTGGAAAGCTATGACCGATTGGGCCCTACCTTTTAAGATGCAGGTTCTAAATTCACAAGGATGAGTCTTAATTCTTTTCTATTTAATGCCTTTTCCAGCTGAATGACTAGGATTACTGCTTTAAAAAAAAAAAAAGGTTTACCTTAGAATGAGGTGGGTCACACAAGTGAACAGGATCTCTCTTAAAGCGGCAATAGTAGTAGGTGCTTTATTCAGTAAACAGTTTTATTCCCTTTTCTCATTTTCCGCTATTAACACTTCATTGTTAGAATGATGGGAAGAGGTATAGATTATTATAAAGTAGCTTTATTCTGGTTCCCCACTCCCAGTACTTACCAAAAGAAACCTCAAGTTCTATTATTTCCCCATCTGTGTGTTTTGTTTTAGTTGAATAAAAGAGTCAGATGATCAGTGTAATGTTACTTTCAGTTGTATGGGACAAGTATACGTGTCAGAATAATACCAAGTGGTAGCTAACCAAGAGTTGTCCTCTGTTGGGAAAGCCAGAGGTATCACTTCTCCTTCCTGAAATGAAGACAACCTAAAAAACTTTGTGAGAGTTAGATCTTCCAGCTCTTGGAAAAAGTGACTTAAATGACATTTCTAGAAGGGTCTGTTTTCTGGGGTTTTAGGGCCAACTGTCAATGTGAGATCTGTGCTTTTTATAATTATTTCTGTGTTTTCAAGGAGAAGAAAATTATCCCATTTTCAGTAGTTTCCAGCTTTTGCTTTGTCCCAATTACTGGTTTGTAAAATTTTTTGCCATGTATAAACTAGTAACATTAAGTTAATGTTAATTTTGCATTCCGAATTACTTACGGATTAGGCAGAGAGATGTGAATGGATATTCTATTTCTCTTCAAGTCCATGGATTCTTTTTATCAGGAGACCTGAAAGGTCCTTGGGGTCCAAAAGAGGAAAGACCTATTAAGCCTCTAAGTGGAAGGAAAGCAGTTTGGAATTTGATTATATGGTCTAAGCTGGATAGATGTATGGTGAAACTAAACACTGATGTTGGTGGACCATCCCATCCATTCAGGGTCGTCCCCCCCCACCACCATCACCCGTTGGCCAAAGTATCTTTGATTCTTGACAGTGCTTCCTCCTCTCACCCCCACTCTGGCTATTGGGGAGGTAAGAGGGAGATAGGCCTCTGCAGGGGGGCAGAGAAAATGAGAGAAACAGGTTCCAAGATGATGCTTTTGCCAAGAAAAATCAATAGGCAGGAAGCATAAAACTCAAATTGAATAAACCAAAGATACTTAGCATCATAAATATGTGTGGTACTTCTAAGAAGTGTAGAAGACCACCTCCAGAGTTACTAAAATGAGCTCTAGTTTAGGGACATGTGTTCTTAAATGCTATGTAGGTTTACTCCATACCTCTGTTTAAGAGCCACTGTTCAAAATCTTACTTACTGCATCTAGTTTCTAAAATAATACAGAGGAAACCTAGTGATTTGATGGTTCCAGATGGTTTCCACTTCTTTATCTCTTCAAAATGTTTTTCTAAGATGGTGCCATTCTTGGAATAGGGGGAGATGGTTATTTTGTTGAAAGCCTTGAGTTTTTTTTCTGACCTCCTTTCAAGTTGTATGTTGTTAGTTATATGACTAAGATCAATCTATAAAAACTTGATTCCCTGAGCAAAAATTCAGGGAATTTCTTGGTTTTGTTATTTATATTAACTTTTAAGTTCATGATCCTTTTCCTTGAGGTATTGAAGGTCCAGAGTAGTGGGGGGGGGGGGGTTGGTATGGTTTTAATGCCTTGACACATAATTTTTAGCCCTAAGAGTGGACTTTGAGTTTTCTTTATGTGGAGGATTTCCCAGCTGGTTTTGTAGATTTGCCCATGGATTAAGGTTTAAGTTAACTTTGTTTTTAGATTTGGCTAGTAATTTTAGGTATCATTTCTTCTGGACAGGCTAAATTTCCTTGAATATATATTTTCAAACCAGCTAAGAGTCAACATAACTACAAAAAGGGGGCTAACTTCTTTAAGAAACATCCCTGACAAGAAAGGTAGGAGGAGGTGGAGGCATTATTTAGGTGTTAGCCTAACCAAATGTCAGTATAAAAGGGAAAATCTTTGCATTCTGGCTGGTGTTTCCTCTGTTCCTGGCCTAAGAAATGATTGCTCACAAAATATATATGCATATAGCCAGTAAGTCTTAAGAGGCTGAGAGGAAAGTCTTAGAATTTCACAGACACTGTATCTTTGACCCTTGATCTGCTAGGCTAAAAGTACAATCTCTTCTCAGTGGGCAGACAGGTAAAGTAGGCTAGGATAAGGTTTTTCTGTTTAATGAAACAAGAGGCTTAAAAAGAGATCTTGGCTTTCTACCATTTCTTCCTTTATATTCCGATCCCTAGGCTGACTGATTTGTTAACTATATAACTACTTTATTGGTAATCTTTTTATTATGAGTTGTTACTGTGGGCATATTCACCTCTCCTTTACAGAGTAAATTGTTTTCTTTGGTTTCCATTAAAAGCTATAATCATTCCATGAAGTAATCTTTTCTAACATTGGAATAAACAAAGGCAGTTAACTTTTGGGGTCCCTTTTTCTATTTTCTCTTCTAGGTTAGCTTTTGCCTGTGGTAAAGATGCCGGAAACTGCACCCCACCCCTATTTTGTGAGAACTGCTTTGTCCAAGGAGAGGAGGGAGGTGGATTGTGCTTTTAAATGTCTGTGTGCAGAATATTTGCCAGAGAATGCCAAGAAATTGTTAATTGGGGTCCCCAAAGCTGCAGTACACCCTTTAACCGTTCCTTATTAAAGGTAGTTGTTCTCACTAATAAGAGTATCTTTTTCTTTAAATCTTTTTACAGTCAACCCATGGGGGTGATGGAGGGGGCTGTCACATTTCATGTCCCTTCACACCGTGTTTTAGAATGACTGAAATCTTACTGGGAAGTTCTAGAGTTCTTTCGGGCCTAGGGACCAGAACTCATTTTACTGACTGAGTTACTCTTTTCTTTACTGTTCTAAACTTCAAACTTAAGTTTCTTCTGTATTGCATATAAATTTTTGCCCTGAGCATCATAGTAATGATCTTCCAAATTTTCTCCCATCAAGCTGTAGATCACAGAACATAATCTAAAAAGGCTATAGCTATAATTTAAAATCCTATTCTATCCTTTCAGGAATGGCCAGAATATTCTGAAAGTTTACCATACAGGGAGGTCTCCAGTGGTACTTTTATTCAACATTGAGTCTTACTCCTGCAGTGACTTACTGTACTGTTTTGGTTCTTTTTGGGTCTGGCCATTTCTGCTCTGTCTCGGGTGGAAAGACTCACTAGACTTTATGCCTTTTAATTTGCCTTAAGTTGGAGCATAAAGCAAGGTTGTCTTGCTTGATGATACACCTTTGCTATCAGACTGAGTGGGTTTGTTCTCTTAATCCATTGTTTCTGTTTTGGTGCCTTGGCAGGACATTTCCTTGGTTCCATTACTTTATATGTATGTCTTTTCTGCTTATGCGTTGACTGTATGTTTTGACTCACTGGTAAGCCAGTTACCCTGTTTCCCCATTCTTTTGCTGGTTTCTTTAGAGATTTTCCTTACTGTGCCACTTACCTACCAGGTTAGTCTAGTTTTGATTGGGAAAGCTATGGCTATATAGTATATACCTAGACTTTGGTTTTTACATGCAATTCTGAACTCCCTCCCTTCATGGACCTTGATAGGAGCCCCTGATTTAATCTGTTCTGGTTTTAATAGGTCCTTTATGTAACTAACTAGCTACTTACTCTTAGATCCCCGTCAGTTTGCCCTGGTTCATCTGCATTTAGCCCAGGAAGCTGTAGATCTCTGGCACTCTCTTTGGTCTTCTGCACAGTTCACTGCCTTTCTGCTGTGGTTCCATCTGGTTGCTTTGAGATTCTTAGGGGTTCACACAATGGTTAGATGGAATAGGGTTTAGTGTCCTTCAGGCTGGTCCTTGCTTTCCACTAGGTTTCTGCCTTTTGCTAGGACTTGAAATAGATTGTCATTGCCTCTTTTCCCCACTTAAAAATAAGTAAAACTTAAGAAATTAAGGTCTTTTTGGGAAAAAAAAGGCATTTTAAAAGTAAGTTTTATGACTTTCATAGGGTTTTGTTTTATTGATGGCAACTTGATTGAAATATAGGTATAAGGTATAGGTGTCACAGTTAATAAGATTCTTTCTCACCCTAGTCTTTATGGAGTAACAATCCCAAAACACAATCCTTGGACAGTTCCCTTAACTGCTTGGCTTTGGCACCCCTTTCTGAAGAGAGTGGGGTCAGTTAACTCTTAATCCTGCTCCAGAAAAGGTGGAATTTCAAGTTAATTGGCTTATGTCAGTTGGAGCAACGTAAATATACCAAGTATATTCAGTTCCTGCCCTTACCTGTGTTTTCTTATCTTGGATGGGGATTGCTTTCCCTCACCATTTATCTCACAGCAGCTTATTTGTTTTTAAAGTTGCCCAGAAAGTATACAAATTAAACTTTTGACATCTACGTGTAGGAATCCCGTTCTGCTTCCAGAAGTGGAAGTGCTCATGGATCTGGGAAATCTGCAAGGCATACCCCAGCAAGGTCTCGCTCCAAGGAAGATTCCAGGCGTTCCAGATCAAAGTCCAGGTCCAGATCTGAATCTAGGTAAGAAAGACTGTCTTGGGATTTTCTTCTGTTACTCTTAGCTCTGAAATTGGTGTGTGCTTTGTAAATTAGGAAGATAGAGAGGGTTAGATCATTTGTTGGCTTATTTAACATTGGTACTAGCAATGTACTTAATCATAAGTTCTGGGAGAGAAGACTTAAGTGGTTAAGAGCCTGGGCTTTTGGCGTTAGGGTTCAAATCTTACCTCTATTTTTCCTGACTTGGGCAGATTACTTAACCTTTTTCCACCTTAGCTTCCTTATCTTTAAAAGGCGAGTTAGTACTAGTTCTTCAGAATTGTGAGGATTCACTATGAGTCTAAGTATAACAAATGGACTGCAGAACATTGGCTTTCATAACTGCAATTCTTGATAAATAGGTGTAGTGTCTAATACACATGTGTATATAAAACAAAAATAATACGATAACACAGCGCACTTTTTTTTTTTTTTTTTAATGTTGGTCTAGAGTAGGCTATACGTCCTTGGTTTGCCCAGGACAGCCCCAGTTTATGCCTCTTATCAGGCATAATTAACTGCACCTCTTTTCTCTCTTACAATGTGTCCTGTCTGGTTCAGATGACACTTCATATCACTCTAGTTAAGAGCGATTGATTGGTTTTAAAACACTGCTGGACAAAACTATGGTGATGGTGATTTTATCTTAAGTGAATGGTGGGCATAATGGGAGAGACGGAAAAAATAGAGGGTGTTATACTGAGGGAAAAGGGGGGCACAAATCAAGCTAGTATGAAGTGCTGCATGTTTTATGATTACCAAATTTTTTAGTGTGTTAATTGATCTTCAGTATGTTAATTTTGATCTCCTTTATCTTAAATGGAAGAGAGTTGATAGTGGTTTGGAGCTCTTTCTAGCAGAGTTGAGATGACTCTAGATACAGAAGAAAAATCTCAATTTCATGTTAATGTATGTCTGAATTGTGTTTCGTCTTTGGGATTTTAACTCCAGATTATTAGAAGAATTAAAAGCTGTATCAATCAGTTATTTAGTCATAACCCTGAAGCCTTTGTCTTACAGGTCTAGATCCAGAAGAAGTTCTCGAAGGCATTACACAAGATCAAGATCTCGGTCCCGCTCCCATAGACGATCCCGTAGCAGGTCTTACAGTCGAGATTATCGAAGACGGCATAGCCACAGTCATTCTCCGATGTCTACTCGCAGGCGTCATGTTGGGAATCGGGTAAGATGAAAAAAATTGAAGCAATATGTCTCTCTTCTGTTTCGAAATTAGAACTGATTACGTTTGACAGTAGACTTTTGGCAGTGAACACACGAGTTCTTTAGAGACTTTTTAGTGTTTTGAGGTAAGTCTATTTAAAAGGTATTTCTTATGTAATGGTGTACATTTGAGCTATCAGTCATATGTAAGCAAAATACTGTGGCAGTGGTGTAGCTCAGCTCATCAAATAAAAAATCCCCATTGTGCATTACTATCTATATGTGACATACTAATGTTACTGAAGTTTTCTGGGTTAGCTTTAATACTCTTTAGAATGCTTCTGGGTTTTTCCGTTTAATTTTAAGCGAGTTTATTTCGGGTATTAAGGCTTATCTTCCCTGAAGTAGTTACTCCCTCTGGCTTATAGAAATAATGCTACTCTCATTATTCTTATGCCTAGAATAAATTCCTAGGAGGTGAATTCCTTGGGCAAATTGCTCTCCAGTCTCCCCCCACAAAAATGCCAGTTTTGGTATTCACTAGTATGAGTCCCTGTTTCCCCCTCCCTACACACACACACACACACACACACACACACTCTTGAGGTTGAAATGCTCTTCGCAGGATTTTCTTTGGGAGGGGGTGCAGAGGGAGAGAGAATCTTTTTTTTAAGATTTTATTTATTTGACAGAGACAGCGAGAGAGGAAACAGAAGCGGGGGGCTGGGGAGTGGGAGAGGGAGAAGCAGGCTTCCTGCTGAGCAGGGAACCCGATGCGGGGCTCGATCCCAGGACCCTGGGATCATGACCTGAGCCGAAGGCAGATGCTTAATGACTGAGCCACCCAGGTGCCCCATGGGGGAGAGAGAATCTTAAGCAGGCTCCATGGCCAGTGTTGGAGCCAGATGTTGGGCTTGATCTCAAATCAACCCTGAGATCATGACCTGAGTCAAAATCAAGAGTCCGATGCTTAACTGACTGAGCCACCCCAGGCACCCCTTTTTTCTGCCCATTAATGCTTGCAGCTATTGCCATAACATACTGATTTTAAATTTTAATTGTTTATTTAAATCTACTTTATTGTTAGTGACATTTTGGGTAATTTATATACATTTTTTCTTTGGTTTATGATAAATTTTAAGGTTTAAAATTGATTTTTCCATTTCTAGGCAAATCCTGATCCCAACTGCTGTCTTGGAGTATTTGGATTGAGCTTGTACACTACAGAAAGAGATCTAAGAGAAGTATTCTCTAAATATGGCCCCATTGCTGATGTGTCTATTGTATATGACCAGCAGTCTAGACGTTCAAGAGGATTTGCCTTTGTGTATTTTGAAAATGTAGATGATGCCAAGGAAGTAAGTAAAAGTCTACCTGTATCTTTTTTTTTTTTTTTTTTTTTTAGATTTGATTTATTTGAGAGAGAGAAAGCACATGAGGGGTAGGGTCAGAGGGAGAAGCAGACTCCCCACTGAGCAGGGAGCCCCATGCGGGACTCAGTCCCAGGACTCCAGGATCATGACCTGAGGCGAAGGCAGTCACTCAACCAACTAAGCCCACCCAGGCACCCCCCCCTTTTTTTTTTGACCTGTATCTTTTTAAAATAGTCCTATTGTTGACTCCCAAGTACAAATGAACTTGGATAAGGACAATTTTCGCTTTTATATTTTAAATAAGATATATTTATAGTTAGTTATAAATATCCTATTTGTAAATATTTACAAAAGTATTTATACTAGATAGTTTGTGGATGGCTTTGTCCCAGGTGTATATAATAACTTAATGTATCTTTCGAAGGCAAAAGAGCGTGCCAATGGAATGGAGCTTGATGGACGTAGGATCAGAGTTGATTTCTCTATAACAAAAAGACCACATACCCCAACACCAGGAATTTACATGGGGAGACCTACCTAGTAAGTTTATTTTTTAAGTTAGATTGATGGCTGAGTGCATTTTCTCTAAGAACTACCATGTACTAGAGGAAAATCTTTGACATTTCATCTAGTCCTGCCACAGTACAAATCATTCTTCCTGTGTTTTTTTTTTAACTGGGTAAGACTATTCAAAAGAATATATTCAGTGGAGACCTTGTATTTGTGCTGCACACTGGTAGATGACATCCCACCATATCATACAGAAAGGCCATATATCTGGTTTTGCTTGGTAATTAATGTTCTTGCTTAGACCATTTTTATCATAATGGAAACTTAAAACCATTCTAGGTAAAAGTCTAGTTTATAACATTCTACTCCTGTGCATTTTTTAGTTCTTGTTAAGCAGAGTGGAAAACACAGTTTTCGCATTGAACTATATTGATAGGATACTTCTCTCCTTTGTCGTTGTTCTCACCAGTGTTTCTATATTGTGTTGAAGTTTTGTTTTTTGTTGTTTTTAATTTAAATTTTCCCACTCCTGAAACCACATTCTTCCAAATATTTTATTTGCCCTTCCTTTAGGAAAATACATTTATGTACGTTGTTATAGGGAGCAGAGAAAGGACAGTGTTTATCCCATATCAGTGAATTCTTAAATAGGAATAATAATAATCCTTTTCCAGGTAACTTTTTTATTATAAAAGGCCTGTCTATGAATTAAAAATTAGGGGGTTATTAGTAGATACTATTTTTGCTCAATATAAGAGCGTATAAAGAGATTATACTTGGAGCAGTTGCCCAGTCATGTCCTTAGAGCTCAGCTGTGGCTCCCAGGACCCAAATGAGTCATGCTGCTGCTGTTGTCTGAACAGCTTTAAACAATAACAGTTGTATGTAGGAAGATAGGGAAGGAAGGCCACGTGGTATTTTATGAAGATACTGTGTGAAGATATATTTCATTGGATGATACATATTTATGAAGATGTATCATTCACAGTGGCAGCTCACGCCGTCGGGATTACTATGACAGAGGATATGATCGAGGCTATGATGATCGAGACTACTACAGCAGATCATACAGGTAAGTTAACCATAATAGATTTGAGTTGCCAAAAATTTGAAGGGAGGTACCAGTCTCTTCTCCTGAATCATAATTTAAGGCACGACCTTAAAAACACTAAACTTTAGTGTTTTTTCTTTTTTATACTAAGAAATGTAGGGCTAGAGTTTAAACTGTAGATTTTTAGGTTATGTGTCTAGTCAGTTGAACTTAACGAGTATTTTTTTAAAAACATCAAGTCTTAAACCAGCTGAAATCCCTGGTTTTGAGCATGGCAGTGAAACCAAAATTACAGACCGTACTTCAGTTTTTTCACTCTTTTGTGCTTGTTCTTAAGTTCCGTAAGCTGCATTTTTAAAGTCATTGCTTTATAAAGCATTTTTGGTGTCTGATGCATGATGCTGTCTAGGTAGGGAAAACTAAGTCTTGGAAGAGTCCAAAGAAATACTTGCTGAAAGGCAATAATTTGGTATAAGAATGGCTAGAGGTTTTTTTATTACCAAAAAATTGAACCTTTTGTGGGGGGGGGATTAGTAGGGAAATAAGTGTCATACTGAGAAACACTTATGAAGATAAAAGGAAGTAAAATCTTTAATTTAGCTGCAGCGGGTAAATTAGACCCTATCTTGCTTATGAAAATGTAAATTGTACGATTAATCCTTGGTGCTTTATAGAGGTGTGGTTGTCTTTTTTTTTTTTTAACACCGTTTTGAATGTTTAAAGAAGCTGATTGTCAATTCCTATCTGTGGAAGTGAGTCCTTAAGCTTGCTTCTGACGCAATGGTCCAGCATTTTATCCCTAACAAAAACCTTTTTTGAAAGAACATTTGTGTGTTAATTGGCACTCTTAGGGATTAATCTGTGGAGGCTGGGAAGATTAAACGTTCAGGTTTTATTTTAATTCAGTTGAGCATTTACTTTAGAAGTGTAATTTGTTCTGTTACTCATTTTAGCCACCAGAGAGAGCTCTATGCCATTTTGTAAAAAGGGTGACAAAAGTTAGGGCTTTAATCACTTTACTTACAAAAATGATCGTTCATTTCTCTGTGGGAGTTTTAATTATACCGCATAAATATTGTTTTTACTTTAAAAAAAATGAATGTGTGTTGCTTTTCTGCCTTCACAGAGGAGGAGGTGGAGGAGGAGGAGGATGGAGAGCTGCTCAAGACAGGGATCAGATTTACAGGTATGGCAGGAGAGGATTTTAAATGTACATGGTACACAGTAGAATGGCTCACCTAAAGACACTTGGTTATTTTGGGGGTTATTAAAAGTTGGATCACACAAATTGGATTGCATGAAATTCGTAAAATACTGTAACTGAAATCAGTGATGTGTATACATGGCTTCGTTTGTGTGTTTACAGAAATGAATTGGGCTTATACTAGGTAATTACTCAATGGCCCCATTTTGTACCTTAATAAGCGATGATAGTGTTGTAAATTAAGGTCACTGATAAGCATCCATAATATTCTTAGTCTTTCTTCCTTACTGCTATTTTCTGGTACTATTGCATTTTTGTTAGCTTTTAACGAGCATCTTAGTAAGCAAGTGAATATTCAAGTCAGTCTTAGAAAACTGCTTTGAAGCACTTAGTAAAATTTGTTTTGGGTGTTCATGAAGGTGTGGCTTGGGATTAGTGGTTTTATTATCTAAAACAGACTTTGGAAATACCATGACTATTGCAATCTGTATATATCATTTAGTCTAACTTAAATCTGTGGAGTCTTAGATGGTCTTGGCATTTGTTTACAGAAGGCGGTCACCTTCTCCTTATTATAGTCGTGGAGGATACAGATCACGTTCTAGATCTCGATCGTACTCACCTCGTAAGTTTTTAACTTGATATGATTTTATAATAGTATGGCTTGAAGTTATCAAACTACAGTAGATAGTGGGTTAATTCAAGTAGTTTTATCTGTATTACAATCCACCCACCCACCCTCGGTTTTTGTGTGTAGGGTTCAAGGAAGTATATGAAAATCCTTGTAATCTAACTCTTGCTAATTAAAATAGTAAATGTATAATACATTCTGGTCACCATTTGTACCTTTTCAGGAGGGCTTGCAGTTTTTGTACAGCCTGGAAACATTTGGGTGACTTTAAAACCTTAGCTCCTGGGGGTTGAGTTATATACCTCCCAGCTAATTCTTTTATTCAGTGTTGGTTCTTTGATTTCTAGTGTAACCCTTTTCATAGGAGAGAATCTGGTGCATAGAATTTTCTAATGGTAGAATAATCTAAAAAGTCTCAACATTAAAGTACACTTGATAAATATGCTTCAATACTGAGACTGATTATTATTTCTTCCTAGGTCGCTATTAAAGCATGAAGTTGAAGATTTTCTGAAACCTACTCTAGAGTTGGGATATTGTTTGTGGACAATATTTTTTATTGTCTCCTGTTTAAAAAGTGAACAGTGCCTAGTGAAGTTAGGTGACTTTTACACCTTTTATGATGACTACTTTTGGTGGAGTTGAAATGCTGTTTTCATTCTGCATTTGTGTAGTTCGGTGCTTTGTTCAAAGTTAAGTGTTTTCAGAAAAGTATGTTTTGCATGTATTTTTTTACAGTCTAAATTTTGACTGCTGAGAAGTTTCTATTGTACAAAACTTCATTTAAAAAGGTTTTTCTACTGAATCCAGGGTATTCTGAAGATCGAAGCCTGTGTGTAAAATGCTACCAAATGGTAAAAAGCAACAATAAAGTTTGGTTTTTACTTTTCTTTCTAACATCAATGCTTAGCAAAACTGTTCAGATTAGGTTGTGTCATTAGTAAATTTCAAGACAAAAATACCCATTTTCCTCCAATCCATGAAACATATTATACGTAATATACCTGCAACTAAGTGTTGAAAATTATGCTCTGTAACCCTGTACTGCTAGTACTAGAACTAAAGAACTTTCAATACAGCCAATGCTTAATGCTTATATAAATGTGGATTTGTCAGCCTTTATGTAATCTGTATCATATAAAGCAGGGGATAAGAAAAGAGGTACACAATGTATGCCTTTAAAAGGCTATTTCTTAAAGCTGTTACAAGGGGATAATGGTATTTCAACTAGTTATCAGCAAGTGACAATACATTCCACCACAAATGTACTCTTGTTCTTCTAGCTTTTAGACTATGGAAAAAATTAAGTGCTTCAGAGTTCGGGAAAAAAGGGAACACTACACCTGTGTTGTGGATGAACTGAAGACTTTGCCTGTTCATTTTTTAAATATTATTTTCAGGTCCTTTGCTTACCAAAGGAAGCCCAATTTCACTCAAATGTTTTGAGAACTGTGTTTAAATAAATGCAAATGAAAAGAGTAAAAGGCTGGTACAACTCAGTTGCCATAGAAGATTTTGTTTTAACCTTGTTACTTATAATTGGAGGGTTTTTTAAAGTAGTTTTTAGTCCCTTGTACAGCATCCCTTGGGCTGAAATATATTCTTTTTGCCTTTTTTTAATAGATAAATTGTACATTCCTGGAAAATACATTTAAGAGGGGAGTTAGGTATTGGAGTGACTGTCTTCATTTGGATGATATTATATTAAATAAGTCTCCACACTTGCCCAGAGGGTGGCATTTCCCAGTGGAAAATGCAATAGGCAGGTAATTTATCAAAATCATTTAGTATGTCCCAGGTATCTGTAAAACAGTTCATTTAGTCTGTAGCAGCCATGAGATGTAACTTATCTTAAAACAGCTATTAAATGGTAATCCAAATGTGGGCAGATGTCCATCCACAGTCTGTACTTTGATTCATGATGCCATTCTGCCATACTCTAGATAACCAGATGAGTAAAAAAAAAGGGGGGGGGTGTGAAGGGGTGCCTGGCTGGCTCCGTTGGTAGAACATGCAACTCTTGATCTCAGGGTAGTGAGTTGAAGCCCCATGTTAGGTGTGGAGCCTACTTGAAAAATATATATATATATGTATATATATTTCATAGGCAATATTTGCAGGCCTTAATTTGTCGCACTGGGTGGTATCATACTTTGGAAATTGTCAAATGGATTTTAAAATTCTGCATGTTTGTGTTTCTAAATAGCACCTGGAACTAACTATGTTTCAAATTTATTGTCGGCCAGTTTGAGAGTAAGACTTGGCCCCTCAGATGCTTTGTAGAATGTGGTCCAGAAGGGGCTGGATTATAATTTTGTAGTGGTAAGAGTGTACATGAAGAAACATGATACCACTTACAGGCTGTCTTGCTAGGGGAAAGGGTAGGCCAGCACCAAAGCAGTGGGTGTGAGAACGATGGACATCCGGTGCAGTTCTCACTGAATGAGGTCCCCTGCCCAAATACCTAACTTCTTACTGCATTACAGTATATGGAGTAAGAAATACAAAGATTTCCCAGCCCTCTAATTGGCCTCAGGTCTAGAACAACTTCAGAAAACAACCATGCCTAATTGATGCATCCCAGAAGGTGTTGGCTTGCAATTAATTCATGTAAGCCACCCATTATCCTGCCAATAAAGTGGGTTTTTTTAAAGCTAGTGATCATTTGGGCTTTTGGATCTGGAAGCATTTTGACTTCTAAATTGCTACCAGGAGTGTATTACAGGCAGCAGACCTTGAAGAAAATTTAGAACTTACCGGTTTGATGGGTGGAGACTCCTTTCCTATTCTGGGAGAGGAAAGAAGTAGTCTGTTCATGTGCCTCTGATGGTGGTCATCTGGTGAGTCCCTTGGGTTAACTGTTGGCATACACCAATTTGAGACAAATAATGTCAGAACCATAGGAGAGCCATTGGATAACTTAGGGATCGGATAAATTAAGTCTTGAAATTCTTGCCTCAAGGCAAAAGAACCCAGGTTTTTAAATGCCAGTATTAATACATTGTTTACCACTGCAGGCCTGAGATGATTGAAACCAAATGCAAGGTTGATTTGGAGGACTGCTGAAAAATAGTTAAAATTCATAGTCTGACTAGGGTCTTGTGAAAGCACACACAGCACACGTTATTCAGGAAATGTCAGATCCCAACAATTGGCATAAGTTTTTTTTTTTGTCCTTTTTTTGGAGGCCTTTGAGAACCCCAAGCCCTCCAAAATGGTCTTTAGTTACTTCCCTTGCATAAGGAAAGTATGCCTCAGGATAAAACTAACAATTCTCAACCCTCATTTCCTGCTAATCAGTATTTGAATTTGCAAAGGCTCAAGGAGAGAAATTATGAATAAGACTAGGAACAAAAGTTTAACCCAGAAGGTGAAATTTATTTACCTTATAAAAATTAGGTAAATTTTACAGGGAAGGGTTTATTGATGAGTGTACACCCACAGTTTTGCTTCAGACAACTGACAGATCTTGATTATATAACAGAAAAAAACCCTCTGGATCTTGTGAACATAGGACTGACACAATAGAGAATTCATAAGACATTGAACTTGAAGAGGCCAGAAACCCCAAATAAGAACCACCTGTGCATATGAACTTTACCAGTTTTGCCAAGGGGTTATGCAATCATTTGTGCACTTAACTATGTACAGGAGAAAAAATATCCAAACTTAACCAGAAATATTAGATACTGGCTTACAGTTAAACTAGTTCATGGGAACCAGGGACAGACACTATTGTGACTGAAAAAAGGTTAAAACTGGGGCTTGGGATGAGGTGATGAATAGGATTGTTTGAAATTTATTTTGTGGTAAGTCTGGGGGAACTTCGAATCATCCTGGGGGGGGGTGAGGTTCTCTTCCCCCTCCCCCCTGCAGTCCTGTGCACGTTTTAACTAGTGTCCTCAACTAAGAGGATCCTCTTAACCTTGGGATAAAGGCCAAAGGGAAGCCATTTAGGGCTTAATAAAAGTCATCCTGTCCCTGAGGATTACAGGGTGGTAGTGGTGGCTCTGGCAAATAGTAGAGAATGCATACATTTTCCATTTGCTTACTCAGTTTATTGGTGTGTAGGCTGGTGGACATTTTAAGTAGTGATTTTAAACATAGGCGCTAATTCAGATGAATTTTCCTCATTGGGACAAATGGGGCACTTGATAAGTCCTTAAAATCTAAAAAGGTTTTCTCACCATTCTGGTCAGTAACAGAAGCGATATGCATTTGTGTGGAAAGGAGAGCAGTTCACCTTTTCACCTTAAGAATTTTTGAATTCCCAAGGGTAGGCAAACGACACATTACTAAATCTGGCTGGTTTGTTTCCAGTTTTTACATCTATCACCATTCACTTAATGCATTATATATGACTGCCTTCACATTATAATGGCAGCACTGAGTAGTTGGGACAGACCATTTGACCCAGAAAACTGCAAATTGCTGACCTCTTAACAGGAAAATTTCTGCTTGCTGATTATAAGTCCACAGGTAACTGATCGACCTCCCCATTCTACCTGAGCCTGATTTATAGGTGGCTCTCTACCTTATATGCATCAGCCAGAATCAAGACTGTTAAATGTTCAAGACCCATTCAGAAGACCCTGATGATTAACAGCAGTTTTCCCAGTGAGAACTAAGAGTACTGTATACCTCCACTGTCTTGGTCTAAAATTTAGATAAACTGAGTTCATGGGTGTCTCCTAGACAGTGTCTTGTGACCTCACTATATGGCTAAGTAGCAGGATAGGAGGGTTTTTTAAATTTGATTATCTATTCACTTAGGCTAAACGTTACCACTTTGAAGAGCCTATCTTGCCAGTAATAATAACCAACCCTGAGCTCCAGTGTGAAGTAGTACTTGGAAGGAATCACTGCACTAGGTAGTTACATTGAGCTCCATTGTGAAAGGGACAGTAGTTTTAATTGTAAATAGAATTCTGGAATTGGATTTCTTGACATGGCTAATATCTACCACACAACTTGGGTTTATTCAGGGTTCTTCAGAGAAAATGGAAAGTGTGTTACATAGACACTTAAATATTATAAACTATATAATTCACTTTACCATATCTTAAACATGATGTCTTTAAAATACTTTAGAAAACATCCATTTGAGGATCCTTGTCTTAAAATATTTAGACTCGTTACCAGAAATCTGTGAATTTCTATTCCCCCATTCTTAAGTTCTAAAATGGACTTAAGTCCTAAAATTGTATGAACATTGACCCTTCTCCCAGCAAATAATGAAAATGTCTAAACCCTTAGTCTTAACCACAGTCAAGTATAATCATCCTAGAAGCTTTTCAAATTCAATAGGTAAAAGCACCACTAAAGTTTTAGAAAGACGGGTTACCTGGTATGAAGAGTCCTGCTTTTTTGTGCCTCTTAAAGTTTAATTCAGTGCATCTGAGGACAAGTAACATTGGGAATAGAGCATGACTATCTTCCATTATCCATTCCATTCATTACTGATACTCCCCACTATGATGTGATGGAATTACACAATAAAGTTTGGCATTTCATAGGAAAACCATTGTTAGTATCGAGCTCTAAGCACTGAACACAGATGGCATCTGTTTTAACCTTATATTTAACATTACATACTCAACTTTTATAAATAACTTGGTCAGGGAAGACTACAGTAGTATGACATTTGAGAGAAAAGAGGTGAAAGCCGTATGTTAGACTTAAGTTCCTTGGTTTGTTCAAATTTAAGGCACACCAGGGAGGCCAATGTGAGTAAAAAAGATTAAGAGGGTAAGTAAAGAGCCATATCAATTTGTGATTTTTGTAGACACTAAGGAAAATTTGGGTTTTACTCAAAATGGCATGAAGAACCATTGGAAGTGTTGGGCAGAAGAGTGAGCTGATAACAAAAGCTCAACTCTAGAGTGCCAATCAGTGTGTATGAGGTCTTCATCCAATGGGAAAGGTACATAAGGTGATTTTGTTATAATGTAGAAGATCTGTTAGATACATTTGGAATGCTATGACACCCCAGTAGAGAGGCCGTGGCTAGGCTTGGGTCAGATGACAGTAATACTCTTGGGTTTATGATCATGTTTACAAAGTGCTCTGTAAGCCATAAGACCAGCATATAAATGTGAGAGAATTTTGAAAACCATACATACGGAGGTTGAGTGGTCACTCAATTTAGTAGACAGGTCTCTTCGACTGATGCACACTCTGAAACATTTCTTGTTTCCATAATTAAAGCCTTATACTTGCCAACCTTTTCAACCTTGTGGAGTTCCTTCAGATAACCTCAATTGTATCTAGTCAGCTATTGCTGCATAATAAACCATAGAAACTCAGAGGCATACACTTAAGTATTTAGCTGCTGATCTCAGCCAGGCTCCCATCTGCAGAACAGCTGGTGTTAATCTATAGACTGCAGTGGCAGAAACAGGTTGGCTTCACACTGCAGGTGTGTGGGCCTGCTCCACTTCTCAGCCTCCTTGGAAAAGTGGGCAAGCCAGCACATGTTCTTCTC